TTAACAATACAAAAATTAGTATATTTGAATAAACCCTAAAAAGGGAGAGCATGTGGACAAATATATGTAAATTTAGGTGATCTATATTAAAAAAATCCAATTTGCATTAATTAATTGATCGTCACCCTCCCTAGTATAATCATTCATATTCCTCTCCTTTCTTTTTCTTTTTCACTTTCCTCTTTTAATTATGATTTGGAAAACTCTATTATGTCTAGCAAGTTACAGGCAATTTTGAATCAAAGCACATGTTTTTAATTAATTATATTTATTATTATTCTTTATGTTAAGGAAGCACATGGAGAGCTTATCTTTTAATGTCTTTATATATATATATACACATATAAAAAAATTATATGAGTTTCTACCGACCAACTCAACTAGTTAAGACCTATATTTTCTGGTCAGAAGGTTGAATTTTCAATCCACTCAGTATTATAACTAAAAAAAAGGGAGTTAGTGAATGCTTTGTTTTGTTGCATTTTTTATGGGTTATATGTGTGTATAGTGATGCTTTTTGGAATTGTTTTTTTTTTTTTGGATGAACTGCTTCACTAGGTTTGATAATTGTTATTTATTTTGTTTTGATTGGGAAGACTCTTATTGGTTTGTACCAAAAAAAATAATTAATTAAAAGAAATCAAAGTTAGGATGATGTTGGAGTACACATGTACAACTTTCGTTGTTATTTGCAAGTTGGGAATATTATGTGCGAAGATGTGTTGAGATAATATAGAGTATGCGGTTGATCATATGAAAATAAGAGATTTAATGAAATAAAAAAAAAGGAGTTGTATCGTATATTATGAGTGTTTTTTGATACTAATACGTGTTTGGCAACAAATTGGTAAATTTATAGTAGTACCTGCTTTTTCCATTCACATTGTGAAATATCAGTTATATATTATTTTATTTAATGGGCTTACACTAGTTTTAAATGATGTTGTTAGATAACAATGAATGTAACGATCCTAGTACAGTAATGTTTACATTAACATATTGATTTCTCTTGTTCATAAGGGTAAAAAGAAGCTAAATGTGTGCTGTATTCTAACGTTTTAAACTCGGAAATCGTATTTTAAGCTTATTATAGTATCCAAAACCTTTCATTTTAAGTTATCTTAGGTTATACATGCACATAAGACGTTTTTACATCATTTAGAGTTGATTTCTAATGGAAATTACACTTTTGTGCAAAAAAATTTTGAGCTAGGCGCCTGACGCCTTCCCCAATCCCGAGATTGCCTTTAATGTAAAACGCACGTTTTGGTGTGATTTGAAGCTTTCCCAAGCTCTGTCGTGTGTCTTCCATGCATTAAAGGTTGCCAATTCAACAACTACCCAACCAAAAGGTGTTTGAAATGAATGGCTCTCCACAAAGCTCTCAACCTTCTAACCACCTTGAAGTCCCTATAAATTCAGCAACTCATTCTCTTCATTCATCATCTCATAGTGATCATTTTAGCTTTAGACGTTCTTTCTCAGTTTTTTTATGTTTTCTCTTTTAGTCTTTGAGTTATTATTGTTTTAAACCTTGTTTATTTCTAGTTCACCTTTTATTTTTAGCTTGTTAGTCTTGAATTGTAAGTTTAATCTTGTTTAATTAAAATTCCAGCAAGTTCTTTGTTACTCTCATCTCTCTCGTTCTCATTATGAAGTTGTTAATCACTCAACCTTGAGGAATCGACCGAGTATTACTCCCCAATCTTGAAAGAGAACGGGTTAGGGTCATTCGAGTTACAACTCCACAGTTTCCAGCTTGTTTTAATTCTACTCATCTTTTAATTATGTCGTCTACTTCCATCAACATTAAATTCTGTGTTTCCTTTATCGTCATGAGCTAAATTTATTTTTCCCAAGCTCGGTTATGGATAGTTAGTCAAAGTTTTTAAAATCCAACAAGGCAAAAGGCGTTTTTCTCCTCTTTTATCACTTAAGTTGTTTCCATAAATTGAAACTTGATTTGGCCAATTAATGTTTTAACCAAGCATCAATACTGAAAGGTTGCCTAGACATAGGACCTCGACCTGAGGTTACGGTTGGTTTTTACTAAATTAAGTTCTTTTTTCTAATAGACATATTAGGAATGGACTTAAACCTTCAAAATCACTTAGACATAAGAAGACGACGAAGTAAAACTGAAGAAAATTTATTAGAGGTGCCTGGCGCCTAGTTAGAAAAAACTTGTGTATTTTTAGCTAATTTGAAGTAACTCGGCTGAGTTTATTGCCTTGAGTTTTTAAATATCAAAACCAACATTATCCTTATTATTTGTCACCCAAAATTCAATTACAAAGTCACCGATCATTAACATTTCCTATAAAAAGACTTCATTTATTCCTGAGGATCGATGCTCGGAATACTCGTTCTGTTTTTACTACTTGTGACGGGTGTACACTTGCGCTCTCATTTATTTTGAACCCAAAATCCCAAACACATATTTAGAAGTTAAATCTCAATTTAAAAAATTGGTAAAATGTATTTAGTTATATATTTGTAAATCATAAGAATAATGATAATTACTGTTGAAGGAGAAATTTTGACTAATTACTTAATGCCACGTCACAAAATTAAAATTACATTTGGGACCAATGATAAAATTACATGTGTCCTAAATTAATTTTAAAATTGATGAATCAAATTATGCCACGTGTTTCTCTTCTTCGTTGGATAAAATCAACTAATTGGATCAAAATCCATGAAGGGATTGGGCCCAAGCCCATGGCTTAATAACACCCACAAAGATTCCATAAACAGAGGGGTTACCTCTCATTTAGGAGATTGGGGGAAATGATCTAGAGACATTGTAGATTCAGAACTTTTAGAGCATTTATAGTCATCTACAACCATTCCGAGTGCGAAACATACCAATAAGACTCGAAGAACGGAAGACTTTGAGACTACGAGACTTCAAGAATTCTGAATCTTCTCTTCACCAAGCAATCGACCGAAAAACTTCACAAGCTACAAACTGAAGACTTTACAAGTCGAAGGCCTCACGAGCCGAAGTACTTCATCAAGTTGCGGATTTCGTCAAGCAAGTCTCAGACTTCATCAAACCACAAACTTCGCCAAACATCAAGCTTCACAGTCGAGGACACTAAAGATTCTTCAATACGCCAGAAGCTAAAGGCAAAACTCATTGATTTGAGAACAAGCTTATAAGTCCTCGAATTAAAGTTCATATATGAGAGAATCGATCAGATGATCATATATTAGATATTGTAACACTACGTACATTCAATACAAATATAAGTTCATTAATTCAAGTTTTCTCTTCTTTAAATTTCTAGTCGAATAGTTACCAACCGAGCATGTAGTGAATATAAAATATTATTAATTTATTAACATATGTGTTATAAATTTTTTACATTTACTATTTTACAATATTATATCATATGTCATATCATAACCATAAATGAGTTTATAATATAAAATAGGAATCGAAAAGATTAAAATAGGCTCCCTGGCATCATGTTTTAATTTTTGTCATTTCAGTAAAGGGTACATATTAAAAATATTAATTACTTGCAAACTTTTAAGATTTATAGAAAGTATAGTAACTAAATTTGGAAATTCAAAGGAACACTATCGTGTTTGGGAGTGATTTTGATATGGTTTAGGAAAATTTAAAATAATTTTCTATTGATCATGTTTGTCAAATTAAAAATTTATTTTAGGAAATTTTAAAACCCATTTAAATTGATTTTTAAAATATCACTTAGATGATGATTTTGGAAAATCAATTATACTTAAATTTCTTTTTTCAAAATCATTAATTTTACCGTTACTTTTAAACACACCCTTAGATTATATATACTAAAATATTGAATGTAATTCAACTCATTTTTAACTATTTCTACAAATTGGTTTCACACACACCATTATTTAACAAATCATAGTCGAATATTTTATATATACAAAAAATATACCCAAAATACATGAAAATAATCGGGCTAGTTGCCTCGAGTGCATTGACCACATTTACATTTTGTTTACTTCTACTACAATTTACCAGTCGCGATGTAGCCCGCATTCTCCCCACCATCGATTACTCTAGCGATCTCTCTGTTGACCAACTCTCCACTGGCTCATATCGGTCTACCTCCGTTTTGGCTCTCTCTTCACAAGCTACTTTCGTATTAGTGAGCTTTCTGCTTGTTCTAACTCTAACGATTTTTAGATCGATTTTGATTACGCCAACAAGCACTCCTAAAAGTGCTCATTCTACTCTAAAGCACCAACTCCTTCTTTGAGAGATTAAGAAACTCCTCTAAACGTTGGGGTAAACGATGGAGGAACGAATAATTGACACATGGAAATGAAAAAAGATTAGCGATCATATTTGATCCCATCTATCATCATAATTACGTTGAAAACATTTATTATTTGTTTAATTAATTATTAAAACATAATCAATATTTGCTTAAATATTTTCCTTTTTAGAAGAGCACAAATATTTGTAATTTTGGACAATTTTAAAATTGGGATCTCCGCAGTATTTTGTTTCGGGCCTACGCCTGCCATTTCAGATGGGCTCATAAATGGGCTTATCACCATCCATAAACATGGGCCAAGTCTTTCGGTCGGCCCATCGTCCAACCTTTCGTACAGAATGGCGCTCGTTTCTCCAGCCGAAACGTGTCCTCCATTGCCGTGGCTACAAAGACAAAAACTTCGCGAGAAATTACCGCTCATTGCTCATTGCCGAGAGGCTGAGGACTTAGCGGAACCGCCTCGCCTTGCAGTCGCGGACTCCTACTTTCTTCTTCTCCTCACCGCCTCGGCGCCCATTTCCACAGCTCTTCAAACAAGGATTTCAAAGCCCCATACTCCTCTTCTCATGGATTTGCAGCACAGCGACTTCGATCGCTTACTTTTCTTTGAGCATGCCCGTAAGAGTGCCGAAGCTACTTACGCCAAAAATCCCCTCGATGCCGATGTGAGTTTCCGGTTCTTCTTGCCGCTTAATTTACCCATACAGTTATTGTGTTGCTTTCGTGGGGTTTTCTTTTTTCTTTTTTCTTTTTTGGCTGGGTTTGTGGAAGATTGGATGATGTTCATTTCTGTTCATAAGGGTTTTTTTTTCTTGCCTGAATTTTGCAAAATGTTCTGGACTATAGGGGTTGGTTTGAATTGTGCTTAGAGTTTCATTTTAATTAGCTTTGAGGTCACTAATGCCGGCATTTGTCCGTTGTAGCACAATCATCTTCTCCGCACAAGGTGGTGCTACTCAATATTTTAAAGCCATGGGTTTAGGGAAAGTAAAGAAAAATTGTCGCCACCTATATATATATATATATACACACACTAAACCCTAAACATCTGAGTTACACTTCAGTTGTCTGCTTAGAAATCCGTTTTAACTTGAACGGGAAGTTAATGAAGGATTTTTTGTTGAAAATTTAGAAGTTTAAGGGTTGAAACGAGACGTTTGAAATGGTATGGGTATGATTGAAATTAATACTATAGTTCATTTTATAATGTGCTCTTTTTTCCTTTAATGGGTGTAATGTTTACGACTCTTGAGCTGTATTTGATAATCAATCATGGATGGACTTTCACGTAGAATTTGACGAGATGGGCGGGAGCTTTGTTAGAGCTATCTCAGTTTCAGAGTGTTTCAGAATCGAAGAAGATGATTTTAGGTATCGTATCTTTTTGTTCTACAAAGTCAGATGAAGAAGCGTGTGAATTGAGAAAATTTTTGCTTGACTTTAACTTGTGGCTGACTTGGGGATTTGTGTGATTGGCTTTTCTTTCTCGATGTCTACTTATTTATGCATTTGCAATACCGGCCTTCTTTCTAGTTTAATGATGTTAGTGAAGGGCATTGAGTATATTTTGGATTAATTTGTAATGGGGTTGAAACAGATGCAATATCAAAGCTGGAGGAGACACTGTTGATTAACCCCAAGAAGCATGATGCTCTCTGGTGTTTAGGAAACGCTTATAATTCCCAGGCATTTTTGAACCCAAACCAGGAGGCGGCAAATGGTTTTTTTGATAAGGCCTCAACATACTTTAAACAAGCTTTGGATGAGGTACTTACTAAGGCTGAAAAACCTCGTCATGAGTTTATGAATATGCATTCTCTTATATGGCTGTACAAGTTTAACATGGTGATTTGTTGAGTTCAGGATCCTGGAAATGAACTTTATATGAAGTCCTTGGAGGTGACTTTTAAGGTATTTCTTTCAGATGTTGGGATCAACATTCATTAGTGCAATTTGAATACGTTCATATTTCATAAATATTGAGCTCCTTTCATTGGCTTTGAAATGAGTGAAACTATTTCATTTGCACGTGTATATGAAGTTGAGTTAAATTGTATGTTCGGTCCTTAAATTTTGTTGGTTATGTCTATTTAGTCATTGTACTCTAAAAAAAACTTTCAATTTTGTGTATACCTAGTCGAAGTTGTTATTTGGTCCTGAAGACAGGGCCAAGATTGGTGGAAGTCATTTGTTTGATTGTTTTTTTCTCAGTAAACTAGAACTTCACTATGTACTTTTGGATTTTCTTTCTTCATTTGTTATATTCATGACCTAATTTTTACTTTGTGGATCGTGCCTTTAGGCCCCAGAATTGTATGCAGAGATCCATAAGCACGGTTTTGCTCAACAGGAAACTGCAACGGCTGAACCTTCTACTTCATCCAGTACAAAGGTATTGTTAATTTCCCAAGGACGATAAGTTATCAAGTTACCTTTTGGTTATTATCTTCTATAGAAGCAGGCTTAAGCCTTAAGGAGGGTTTTGCCACTACTATGTTCTATAAATGCATGCTGTGTATGCTCCTTAGCTTGTTAGAAAGAAAAGGCACCTTCATCTTGCTATCTTTCTTATGCCTTCAAATTGGTAGCATCATTATCATTTTCATCTTTAGGGTGTGGGGACATCCATTCACAAAAGACAAGGCGATCTTATGGTCTCTAATTATTAGAGCTTTCGTCTGGTGCTTAGGGAGGAAAAGAAACAATAGAACTTTTAGAGACAAATATCAATCCTACATCAACTTCTTTAATAGTGTCTTGGTTGTGGCCGTCGGCTTATGTAAATGTCATGCTTCATTTTCTAGCTACACTTAAATGATCTCTTGATGAATTGGTGGGTTTTTTTTTCGTAACCCGTCTTCATGGGTCCCTTATCCCTTTTTAAATATGTGTTTCACATAATTTTTTAAAAAAAAAACTTTAGGGGTGGGTGTAGTTTAAGCACTTTTTAAAAAGTATTTTCTTCTCTAGTGCTTTTAATTAAAACACACAAGTGTTTGGTTGCATTTTATTTTGTTTGGTCACAACATCCAAGAGCAACTCTACTACTCACAATGTGTTTTCTTCCCTCTTCATATCTTAAAGTGATTCCCGATTCCCGATTCCCGATTCCCGATTCCCAATTCCGGATCAGTTATTTTAAAATAACTAATAACTTTTTGGAAATCATCATGGGTGGCTCATTGGTCCAAAGGGGTTAGGATTAATTAAGAGGGAATGAGTTCAAATCTCATGATAGTCACCTGCCTTAGGAATTAGTAATTCCTTTGTGTTCGTAAGTTGGTCTGGACACTCACGGATATTAAAGAAAAAAGGAATTTTTTGGAGAATTTATCTCTCAAGTATTCCTAAAAAAAGTGATTTTAAATCAATAATTTCTTTTATGCGGAAACTTTTGGTCTTTATTTTTTATTTTTATTTTTATAAGAAATGAGACCTTTAGTCCTTTAAAATCACTTAAGAAGCTATGTCAAGAACACTCTCAAGCTACAACTCAAGACAAATAACTTTGTCTAGTTTTTTTTAAGTATGACAACATGTGGGGTATCATGACTAAAAGTTTTCTTTTATTCCCTGCTTAATAACTTTGTAGTTTATTTTTATTTTTATTTTTTAATTATGACAACATGTGGGAGTATCCATAGTTGGGGCAACTTTGTCTAGTTCATTTATACATATGATTCGTTATCAGTTCATGACAAGCTCTTAACTTCATGCTCTTTCCTTCTTTCAAGACATCAAAGAAAAAGAAGAGCAGTGATCTCAAGTATGACATATTTGGATGGATAATACTTGCTGTTGGCATAGTTGCTTGGGTCGGGTTTGCGAAGTCTCACGTGCCACCCCCGCCACCAGCCCGATAAGTCGCCGTGTTAGACGTTTGGAAGTCTTAAGGCATTTATCAGATTTAGAGCTGATATCTGTAGAGATGAGAATTACATATCAATCATCTGTTTTTTTTTCGGTTAATGTTATTTTTATAAATTTTATCATCATTTTGAGTCGTTTCGTTGTCTTTTTTCTGCGGTATGACTGATGAATAAGTTGATATTGAATCCTGTGTAGAGGGGTTCTGTTTGGGAATTCTGCCTAATTATTTGTTAACTATTTGGTGATGATTTGAAGTTGTTGGTAGGATAGGAAGGAAAATGGTGATTTTGTTGCTTATTTGTATTGAATTTAATTTTGCATTTTATAATGGGGGGATGTGTTTTCTTCCAGACTCAAAAATTACTCTCTGTGGACTTTATGTTATAAAATAAATATAAGGTTGAAATGAGATAAATTCTTGTATTTGTAATTGTTATTGACTTCCAAATTATGGTGGTGATATTTTGCAAATTTTACATTTAGAATAAATTTAATTACAGATATGATTTGATCAGATTTTTATTTTTCTTATGAAGATAATATTTCAATAAGATGCTCTTATTTCTTTGGCTAAATTATAAGTTTGGCGAACTCTAAGTTTTTAATAAGTATTGGGAAATTTTAATGTATATTTACTAAAGGTTGAAAAACACATGAAATAATAATTTAGACTGGTTTAATAAATAGTTTATTTTTCATTTGATGTGTTTTCAACTTTCTTAAAAATAAAAATACTCTTTTGGAAACTATTGTTTTTAGTTTTTAAAATTTGTCTTAGATTTTAAAAACATTTCAAGTATTATTCTACATTCCGAAGAATCTTCAATAAGGCGGGTCATGATGGAGATAGTTTCAACCAGTGTGGTGGGGATGGTTCGGCAGCGAGATGTATGGTGGCAATATTGTCCACAGTGTTTGTAAAGACCGCAGTAATTATGAGTGTTTATTTTTTTCTCTTTTAATTGTTGAATGCTTTCATTTTTATATGGGTATACCCATAGCTGGGTCTTGTATTCCTATTTTGTCACTCGCATCTTATCTTTACTTTTTAAAAGTAGATTTTAAAGAGATCATATTGTCAGTCAGGGTCCTATCCTGACTTAAAATCTTATCCTAATATGCTATCATGTATTTAATTATTGTATAGACTTATAGAGAGTCATATAATCTCTCTAAGTATACTCATAAGTCTCGATCATCAATGGTATTAGAGTCTTCTACCTTAAACATTCTCTTATTGATTAGTAATAATAATGTTACTCATTTTAATTTGATATACACAATAATCTTAATTTCATTAGGTTCTTTTTTCTTTTTATAAAAGTTAGCAATCCAATTTTAAAAATTGGATTTAGATAGGTATAAAAAAGGATGAATTATTATTATTATTATTAGTTTATAAATTTTAGACCAATCTGAACATGACTTTATAGATAAGATATTTATTACTATGAATTTTAGTAGGTAACAATTTAGTCTCTAAAAATTTGTACAATATTACCCTATTATGAAAACTATTTAATTTTTGTAATTTATAAATATATTTGGTCTATTATCAATTTATCTATCTACATATATAAGAAATTTAACAAAATATTTTCAGGATAAAAACTAAATTGCTATTAACTAAAGTTCAATGACTAAACCGTTAAGTGGCGTGGGAGATGAAAAGTATTTTTTAAGCTACTTTTTACTATGTACTAAAGAGACATTATCCTAGCATGTTATGGTTAATTTAACTATTTTTTTCTCAAAAATACTTTTAGGATGAGGTGGAAATGAAAATTCCAAGCTGAGTTGTATTTGATGACGTGGCATCCAGGTGGGAAGTTCTCTTCTATCTAGGAGATGCTTCTGATTCCCACTGCTTCTCCGCTGCTGTTTCCTAATTCCGGCGATGCAGTGATTGCCGGAGCTTCCCAAAATGATCGCCGGCGCCATAACGAATGGATCCCACGCTGCTACTGCTGCTGCTGCTCTCTCTTCCCTTCAATCTTCAGCCCCGATATGGTTTCCTTCTCGTCCATGCGGCGTTCGTCTCGATTCCTCTCAAACTTCACGCCGCCTCCATGTCCTTGCCATGGCTCTTAAGCGGAGTCCTAAGCGCCTCAAGTACTCTACTCCACGCTTCACCAAGGTCTTCGCTGTTCTCTGCTCCTCAACTACTTTTGGGGTTTTAATTTCTGGTTCTTGTTGGGAGGTAATCCAGCAGGGGCTGAAATTTGGAAATTAACGAAGTTAATGAACTTTCATTATAATTACAATGGTCTTTACCAGGAAGGGAGCTTGGTATATGTCAAAGCCGACCCATCTGGAGAGGATAGCTGGAAATTAGAACCTGTTGTAGATCTTCTACAAGAAGGGGCAGTTGGGGTTATTCCAACGGATACAGTGTATTTCTCACTCTTTATCTGTTTCCTTGAATTTTTGAGATCTTGTTGTTGTTATGATGCCTGATTCTTGATGACATTTGGATGAGTAATTTGTTTATATAGACTATAGTTAGTGATCCATGTTCCTAAATTGTGTGCGATATCTCTCAGAATATATTTTTTATTAGCATTGGAAATGAGGCTCAAATTTCTGCATAGAATATTTGGTTTCCTCGAATGATCTTTTAGTTGGAGTATATTCTCTTTCTTGTAGTATTATTGGTTTCTTGAAATTGACCGAAGTTTTCAAAGATGATGTAATTGTAGAAGATTTAGATGAATTTGCAGTGACAAGGAATGTAATGGGGAAAGAATTTAAGTTTTTATGTCCTCACCTTAATTATTCTTTTGGCGGATCTCATAAGTCTTCATTTCACAGAATTTTTGTCCCATTGCAGGCATCTTCTTTCCTTGTTCACTCCTTTAATCCACAATGTGTGTGCATGCTTATATTTGTAGGTATGGAATAGTTTGTGACTTGAAGAACCCCTCAGCCATTGAACGAATGCGAAGGTTGAAGTTGTTTATTTCTTCTGGTATACTCGAATGCTTCACTTTCTCTCCCCTGGTGTTAAAGGTTCTTGTGTGTTGTTTAATGCAGGATCAAGAATATAGAGCCTTTAAAGGTATGGTTGTTCTTTACAATCTCCGTATGTGCTCTATGATAATGCTAGTATTGCCTTTTAAACTCTTGAATTGCAATGCTCAAATTCACAAAATAGAGATGCTAAGCAATATGCTAAAACCATTTAACCTACATATTAATTCATGCTGCCTTTCTACAATATGCCTTTTCAGTTTTCAATTACGCTTCTTAATTTTCGCATGTCATTAACTATGCAGCCTCTTAGCATTTTGTGCCACTCTTTCCGGGACGTCGATAAATATACTACAGGGTTTCCCCGTGGTGATGGGCAAGGCCATTCCAATATATTTCGCATGGTTAAGCATTGTCTACCTGGACCAGTGAGTGGTTTTGCTAACTTTGCTTCGTGATAAATATATTTTCTCAGTCCTTATAGGATTACATGATGTGATCAAATAAAATTCAAGTGCCTGCAGCATCGACAATCATGTAGAAGTGAAGAAATTGAAAAATCATTTTCTGCTGTTGTCCTATGGATGTCTTGATATATAATAGTTCATAGTGAAATTCTCTGTAGTACATTGAACTCTTTAACTAGAGCAATTGATTTGTGAGACAGCTTCTGTGTAACAGTATACCTTCATCTTAACTGCAAGCAAAGAACTGCCTAAACCATGTATAAGGTTTGGCACGACCACTGCAAAATATGCATCAAGGAAGAACGTTGGTGTGCGTATTCCTGATGATATCATATGTCAAGCAATACTGGAAAAAATGGATTCCCCATTGATATCCACAAGGCTAGTACAATCAATACTCTGTCTCTAGCTTTCTCTCTACACATCTCTGTATTGGTCGAGAATTTGAAAGGCCTTCTTTGTCCAAGCTGTTTCGCAATTGCTCTATATATCTGTTTGCCTAACTTTTATGTGGTAGTTTGACCCTTCGAGGTAGAGTTTTAATTCGGCCAAATTGTATGATCATTGATTTAACAGTCTCCTCTCCCCTTCCTACCATCTCTAGATTGATAACTGGAAGGGGAGAGTCTTTGTATTGGATATCGAATTCCCAAAATAGTGGAAGGCAAAGCGATGAGACGTCAAGATGAAGTTTAGTTTGCTAAAGCTATGTGTAAATCCTTTATTTCAGTGTGAAATGCCCAAAGGAAAATGAATGGTTGCTCGATCCAGTTGTCATTGCCGATATCTATGGACAAGAGGTATCAATAAATCCTACAAAGCCAGAGTGGTTGCTTATGCTAAAATCTTTTGTCACACCAATTTTTCTGAAGTCAGGTTGTTCGTTTCTATAGGGTCTGGATTTTGTGGTGGACGGTGGAGTCAGAGTGGCAGATCCATCCACTGTAGTAGATATGACCATCACTCCTCCAAAGATTTTGAGGCAAGGGAAGGTAATATCTAATTACCCATTTCAGTTTTGCAAATATGCACTCCATTTTGATCTGTTACCTCATCTCTTGCTATGTGATAACGTATCTAAAACTATGGTAAATATATGTTTTAGTCCCTGAGGTTTAGATCTAGGCGTATTTTAGATTTAGTGAAGAAATTTGAATTTAGTCTTTTAAAGTTTTAACATTTTTAAATTATGCTATTTCAACTGATATAGGTTAAAACTAATTAATGATAAACTTATATGATATGATATTTAGTGGGTAGGTATAAATTTTAGGAAAGTTTTTAACTCTTCCTCCAAATTTCTAACAGCTCGGTAAAAATGGCCTAATTCTTGGTTTAAATTTGTATGAACTCACTAAGTATCATTCCTGTTCATAAAAAATTAACTAATTTTAACATTCACCGACAAAAAGGGTATACTTGAAAAATTATAGATGCAAGGGACCAAATTGAAGAAACACGAGAACATTAAGAACTAAGTTATTAATTTAGCCTTACCATTAAATCCAAATCGACCTTAATAGAACAAAATCAGGAGTTGATCATCCATTTCTTCCCTGTGCTGGTCTCATGATCAGATCAATCCTTATGAAATGGCCTGACAACCATAACTTCAAGTTGCTGTTGGATTTGGATGAGTCCTTTCCCTTCTTTTCTTATTCATTGTCTTGTTTCCCCCTTTCTGCTTGAATGCTTTGCAATATCCAGGGAGCTAGACTGCCATGGATGGTAGCTGAAGGAGACGAAGATATCCTCGTCCCATCCGCCGTTTTGTAGATAACCCACTTAACAAGTCACATGGGAAGATAAGATCCAGTTCCAGTACATTCTGCAAAAATAAATTAACAAATCAACTGGAGTGTGTACAGTCTTCGTCCTT